TAATATATATATTTACATCTGACCATATTATACCATTTTTTCTCGGGTGTTTTACACAATTATTATATACACATTTTGCTTAATTTCTATTGTACAGTATTTATTGTACTTATACTATAAACATTTTTAAGGATGTGCGAGAGTTCTGATATTTTTAGATGCTTGATATTTGATTTAAATTAGCTTAAATCGAATTATTTCGATTTTTAAGTCGAAATAATCTGATTCGAATAATTAAATTTGTTTGAAACCCGACTAGAAAACTAGGATACGTTTTAATTCGCATTTTGCGAAGACACGCACATTTTTAAAAAGTTTTATAATATTTTGTACAATCATAAAATTATTGAAATTTGCTTTAAATATTTGTACAAAGTTATTTCCAAATTGGTTAAAAAAGTTATAATCAAAAAGACATTAGGTGATTTTTTTAACTTTTTGTATTGTGTTAAATAACGTAGTTGAATTAACATAGGTGAATTATTATAGAAATTATGGTGATATTAAGATTAGAAGCTGAAGCACTATCTAATTATAAAGTATATTTAAAAATTTGTACCTTTATTAGATCTATATATTCTGGTCGATATAAAATAAGACTGGCATCGAGATTATATTTCACATAATTGTTACTAACTTGTAAATACTTTAGATTAATCGTGATTGATAAGTGTGTTCCGATAGTGATAGTCAAGTGAGATATTGTTTTCGACGCAGTTTCGATCCTGAAAATAATCGTTAAGGACGATACAATTAATTGTTTGTGCGTAATAATACGTCTGTTAAATAATACAATTAATTGTTGAATTGTTAAATTGTTGCGTCAGAAAATAAAACGATCCACTAAACGATTGCATTCAAGTGTCGAATTTATCCGAACAGTACAATTTCTAATCTTAATTGCTATTTATGACCAATTTTCCTGAAATCTTTTAGCAAAACAAAAATATTTTTATTTTATTCTCATTACATTTTAACTTATTCTAAAATACTTGTGTTCTATTTGATCCTGTAAAGAGATAACTAACGATTAGGTAACGTTGCATAACTCATAACACATAGAGTTAATGTTTGGTTTAAATGCCTCGCATGCATACGTATGCGCGTTTCGGTGATCGATATGTCACTGGGTGCGAGTGCCACACGTGGAAAACAAACACTAATAATGGGATTAGCGTGAGGCGGCTGGTTGACGGCGATAACGAAAATTGATTTCATCCTTCGCGTCCTCCAGCCACCCTGAGCCACGGGGATGCTCCATCCGAGCGCGTTGACGTTCATGGGACGCTGCGCAAAACCAGCGACACGCCTTTCTCCCATCAACACACCCCAGTGAGACCCCAATACCCACACGTGCCCAGTTGAACATTGATTTAACTCATTCAAAAGGCGATTTAATTCCGTTAACGGAAATCAATTGAACTCTCGTATTCCGCTAAAAGCAACCTAAAAATATCGAATCGTTGCAAAAACGCAGTAATATATTTAGTAAAATAATTAATTATTAAATATAAATGAATAAGAAGGCATACATTTTTGTATAGGATATGTAATATTGTGTAATGTATTTATTAAAATTATTTATTATTTTAATAAACATTTAATGGATATATGTCGATGCAGAGGAAATCGAATAGTAATTTGTTAGATTTATCTTAATAGAAATGTTATCAAACGATGAGACAAAGGATGTAGAATTTACAAAATAGTAATTGTTTCTGTGTGTAAAATTATTTTGTAGTAAAATTATTTAACAACTTAATTAAAGCCTTCATTATCTAATTTCCATTATTGTCATTATTAACGCGAGGTTCGTTTAAAGAAGAATAAATTGTGTTTTTTAATTAACAGCAATTTAGTATGTATATGTTTCACTATTACAGGGAAACAATATTCTAAGATAACTATCTAATGGCGACAAGTGAAAGTGCCACTGAGATTTCGAGTAGAACGAGGAGACGGAGGCTGCGCGAGTGTTCGCCGCTGATAAGGGATGCTCCGCCCTCCGGTATTCTCGCGACAGTTACCCTCCCGCGTCCTCGCGATCGTAGAATCGCAGGGTCAAGTTGTTGGAGAGCCCGGTAACGGCATGAGGTATTAATCTCGGAGATTAAACGAACAAATCGACGGAAGATTAATTTTTAAGGTGCCGTAAAGTGGAAAGGATTGTCACCTTAATTAACAGTTACGCTACATCGCTCTGTAATTGAGTTTTGCATTCTTTTCACGGGTCCTGCTGATATCTTGAGGAAATAAATACGCCCAATTTACGGTATAAATATCGAAATATTTTACAATTGTTGCAGTTTTAAAATTGATACATTTAGCTGCATTTGGAACAAATTTATTACGGAATAATATCTCGACCCGATCATCGACTTTAATAATTCTCCGGATTTTTATCTGAAAACCAATAGGGACCCGAAGACCGCGATAACTATCACGTGAGTCCATTTCGTGCGGCGGTGGTGATATTAATACCTTATTCTTATTCATTGACACGCGCAAATTGGGCCGCGAATCGCCAGGCCTGTGGGAAACCGCTACAAAATATCCCCTATTAAATTCGTCGGAGCACTTCGGGGGTGCCTTTTTATCGATTTCCCCAATAGGGCTCGCTAGACTGGCTACTTTTAAAATTTTCTCAGTGTCTGCAATTTTTATATAAAAAATTAATATTACATGAAATAATATTCCAACTCAATATGTGTGTGCAATAAGAAAAAATTAACAATTAATAACTTTATCTCAAGTAAATAATTTTACAAACAAATATGAAATTGAAAACTTATAATATTGCGTTTGTTAAAGTAATGTTAAAATAATTTTAGAAAGACACATTCATAGCAATGTTAATACAATATTTTTGAAAAAATCATAACACAATCAATTATTCATGATATAAAATTGATATCTAAAAGAGACAAATTATATTATGGCTCATACGCGTAAGATAAAATAGATGATGCATTCACGAAGATCTTTTCCCAAACAATCAACTTTCGATTAGCCGGATCCCTGCGATTCGAGGAGCATAAAAAAACGGAAGCCCTGCTTAGTATACATTAAGGGTGAGAGAGAGTGGACCCCCTGTCGTCAAGTGGCCACCGGCTACGGGTTGTTTTATTGTGACACCTCGGAAGAGGGGTGCTACAGATTTTCCAGCAGGATGCGTCGGGGTGTCATCGTCGGAGCGCGATTAGGTGATCGTATCATTTTTGATGCTCATTCGAGCGCTATTACGAACCAATCTGCGTGGGACTTGGTTTGGCTTCGGGTAAGTGCCTCATACGATGATTATCTAAAACAAAGAAGAAATCAATAATAGACAAGTAATGCTTAGAAATTTCAACTTGTAACTGCATGCTTTTTTTTAACGACACATTTTGATATTCTAAATATTTAACAGCAAAGCGCGAAAAGTCAGAAATGTGTATGCGTGTGATGGTAATTACAATAAAATAGATTATAAAGTATTTATAAAAGTTGTATAAGTAGGAATTTAATTATATCAGCGTCTTATAAATTCTAAGTGTCTCGAATAACTTAAAAAAACATTAGAAAAGAAGCTATGAATCAAAAGCTCGGATGTCGAAACGCCAAAAAGTAGTACAAATAGTACAAATAAAAACAGTAAAATAATATTTTGTGAAAAAGTGATTAGGGGAAAAAAGATAAAGAGAATGGTTTAATTAGAGATGAACAGAATGGATTTCTAAATAACCAAACGTTTAATGCCAAAAATTTTACTGCTCATGATATTATTTGGAAGTTAAAATTCTTAAAGTTTATCTGGAAGTTAAATTAATAATTTTTAAGAATTAAACTAAAAGTTAATATATATATTATATATAAGCATTTTTAAGAATTAAGTATCTCAATGGGCGGTATTAAGAACAAATGCTAAAAATTGAACAATTAGCAACAATATGGTAATTAATATTAGCATATGATTATTCTAATAAATATTTAATAAGATATGTTATCGCTTCTCTTAAATGTCGTTAGATTTGTAAAATGAAAAGTCATTTAGCTCGTGACAATAGTTGGACTTCACGAGAAACGATAAGATAGATATACCCACGGGACTTGACATGCATTATACTTTAGTAATGCGGGAAAGATCTTTGAAACACATGGCAATGAGTGAAGCGGAGGGGGAATGAGATAAACTTCATAAACACACACGTGTTATATGCTCAAGATAAGAAGAAAAATATGTCGTAGCTATCTCTACATTTCAACCTATATTATGTATGTTAAAACATAAATTCGTGAACGAAACAGATGTAACAATAAACATGAGAATAATTATATACTTATAATTTTAATATTAACACTGTTAGGAATATGTTACAAGAAATTGTTTTTTGGCAACCTTGCTGGGCGTATTATTATAAAATGTTTCAATGTATAATAGAAATCAATTGCGTCTTGTTATGCAACATATATTATTCAATATTTAGAGAAAGTATTGTGCGCTGTAAATGCTTTCAAATATAAATTATTTAATATTACTAAGATATCAGGCTCTTTCAAACATATCGGCACTTTTTATCTCGCAATAAAAGACGCATAAAGATCACGTGCATTATCCCCGATTACCAACACGTGTCCCATCGCATGTACGGTGGGTAGTTTTTTTTTATTATCGATACATTACGAATACAAAAATTGCCTGCAATTTAAGAAAAGCACAAATGTGTTAGGGATTTAATATTCTTTGTTCCTCGACTTTTTAGATTGATAATTTTTTTAAATGCCGACGGTTTACATTCAATAATATCAAATCACATTTTGTTGCACTGATGTTTTATTATTATTATGACTAATAAAACACTGTTTTTAATTATATATATTTTTTTTAATTTGTAAAATCGTAGATTCACACTATTTTGCAAAGATTCAAAAAATAAAAATGTATCTATTTGTATATATTTAAGGAGGTATTCTCATTTGGAGAGGTTAAAAATTTTTTATTGTATATTGTAAATGTAGTATATTTAAAAAATATGTTTTTAAAATGGTATGCTTGGGTCAAGCAAAGTAACAAAGCTAGAATGAGTTTGCCATTTAGTCGAATACAGGTCGCGTTAATGATTGTCGAAAAGATTCCGAAAAGATAAGGACATTTTTCATGGTAATATTTTTCCCCTTCTTATAAGATCAATGTGTAGTTTAAAGTCCAAGAATAGATGCAATAATAGACCGGAGAATGTTATCTTTCTTCTACATTTACTACCGTGTATGGTGGGGATTTTAAAAAATAAAAAAAGTATATAAGACGTTTCCGTCCAATATAATTTTCTCCTTCCCTCACTCTTTTAAGGTTCATTCCAATATGTTATACTTGTCTCTCAATATCTCAACTGCTTCCTACGGTGAAGGGTCGTTAAATAACAGACACATTCAAATCTGTTTAAATTTTGCAAGTATTTTGTACCTGTATATAAAGTATATGCATATAAAGTATACGTATATAAAGTACTTTGGAATGTAGAACCGTTTGAAGAAGAAACACAACGTAAAAGATATTCAGTTTGTTTCCAAACTCTAGAAGTGCCGGATGTAATTCTGTAGAATAGAATAGAAAGGAAAAATTTAATCTAACGCAGGAAGACAAAGAAAAGGAAAACTAAAAATAAGGCAAAGATATTCGCAAATTTTCGAAATGCAGAACGCAAGTCTAAACATCGAACATCCAAAGCATCGAAAGTGGCCTAAAGATTACTTAGATCAGCAAAATCAGTTTTACAAGTACTCTATGTGGCAGAGAAAGGTTCCTTTTATGCTGCAAGAAAGCAGATTAAGGGTGAGATTTGTAAAAAAATTTTTATTCATATTTAAATTGTACTCAAAATTTTAAACGCGTTTTTCTCAAAATCGTGCTTTTTAAACTGGTTTCCGTGATATCTCAAGACTGAGTTATCTAATCAATTTTACAAACATAGAAAATAAATATCGAGATGGTACTAAAATAAAGTTGATGTTTTTAGTATTTCGATTTTTTAAGAGCTCGACAAGGTTGACCAAAAATAGAATTTTTTCTAAGTCATGCCATTTTGCAATAAATAAATTTTGTACTCTTAATTTTGGTAGATTCGATAATCACAAGTATACAGATTAATAATTTTTTGTTGTTTTTTTGGTTTAGAAATTTACAACAATCGCAATCGTGGAAGTCATGAGCACAATATTTTTAAGCGCTGCACAAAATTATTTCATTACTATTGCAAATAAAATAAAAAAATTCTTGTGTTATTGAATCATCGATAAATGTGCGAAACTTTAAAGTTCTAAGTTCTAGAGTTTAAAAAAGATTATCAAAAATCATATACAATACGACGCTTCAAATGAGAATATCCTCTTAATATATTTGTATTCCGAAATCCTTGCGGCAAGATTATTTAAACAAAAGTTGAATGAAATATAGATATAGCTTGTCTTTTCGCAAAATATATATATAATATAAAGACGTGATCCGCGAGAAGAGTCGATACAGGGATGTTGAATGCAGCACGGACGGGGTGGACTGGATACGAGCTCCACCCATAAGCCTGCGCTCCGCCCTCGCGAATTTCATTTACCCGGGAGTGTTACCCTGGTTTCACTACTAGTCATATCGGCTCTTTCGACATTGGTGTTACTCTTTATCACGCTCGCGATGTGAGCCAGATCGTTCTTCGAGACATTAGTTTGTTATTAAATTTCACAGTGCGGTCGGTTTTTTTAATGTGTGCAACATGGTGAGTTCCGACTTCTTTGTGTGAACGATTGCATTTAAATGTCTTTTTAATCCTTTTAATTTTGCAATATAATTGTACGTAAATTTTGTGTGCGTGTGTGTAAATTGTGCATCTGGAGCAATGTTATGTTGTTCACAAACTTGTCACTGATTCAGTTTTAGTTGAGTCACAAAATTTCTATTTTCTTGAAGTTTTCTAGCATTAGTAAACAGATATGGAAATATGCGACGAAATTCCTTCCTTCTTTCTCATTATATTCTGTTAAACAGAAGAGGACCCGAAGTTATAATCAAAACGTATTTGTAAGTTTTGTTTATTAATTTATAATATTTTTCGCGTTGTAATATCCGTGCTTCTGGTTCTCATTGCCTTTTTTTATTATTTTTATTATTTTTAAGAGCTACACATTAGATTTTTATAACAATTATTAGAGATTCTGTACTATTATTAATTATTAGTTTATTAGAAAAATAAATAGATTTTTTTATGTATAAAAAATAAAAAATAACTTATTCTCTTTTTAGGACATCAGCTATAATGTAAAATTATTTAATATAGAAAAGAAGCATATAGTGCTTAGTTTGTATATCATGCGTCATGTGTATAAATAACATTATGACACACAGCATTTTTTAAATTGCCGAGCGACTTATTATTGTGCAATAGATTCGTATGTCATCAGTGTTATCAGAAAGTAATTAATATAAATATCTCAAAACTAAATTAATATCAGAACAAATAATATAAAATGAAGACGTTGTATTACACTATCATAATTATTCATTTAGTCACCGAACAATTTTACTTTCTATAATAATTAAATTAAAATTTTAAAAACTACTTTATACAAATTTGTCTTGTAATGCAGTTGCAAAATTACAGCGCGTGTATACTGCAAGTGTATATTATATAGTTTTGTAAATTCTGCGTAGAAATGTTTGGTTTTATTTCGATATTAATAAAATGTGTTGGAAAAACATTAGATTTTCAATTGCAAGATGAAATTCTTGAAAGTGCGCGATACAATTTTTCTGAAAAAATATTTGCTATTCATCTGTTTAATATCATAGAATTTGTAGTAACAAAGCTAAAAGAATATCGCGTACGGAGAATCATTGATACTGAATAAATTGAAGAATACTAATGTGTAAAATTATTACTAAGAGAAAACATAAATGAATGAATGGAAATGTTTCTTTTTATATCAATGAAACCAAGATGTATGAAGCGATACTATATTGTATACTTGATTGAATGACTAATAAAGATAAAGTGAATGCCACAACATATCTGTCGAATGTCATGGACAATTGAAGAGAGCGCAGTATCAACTTCCTGCCGGTGTTACGGAGGCTAATTATGCTTAAGCTTGTCGACAAGAGTCACTTAATAATAATAATTAATTATATTTACAAATCAGTTTAGTTTAGAGTCTGAATAAATTAAAAGATTGTGATTAGAATTATAACAATTTCAATCTTTCTTCTGGAAGATGTTTCTACGCTTAAAAGTGATTATATCATGTGTCATTAGATTATTGCTTACGCGTAATATCTGAAAATATATTAATTTATTATTTTACAAATATTAATCTAAAACATATAATAATACGCAGAGTTTCTTGAACTTTGATCGAGTTTGTTTATTATATTTCATCGTTACAGCCGATGCTAACATACAGTGGCTGCGGTATAGGAGCTGCAGAGGCTGAAAGTGGTTCCCCAGCAGGATCGTTATTATCTGGCGAAGGAGAACTTCCAGAAGAAGCCGGCGATTCTCCGGGGACATCACGAGACACCGAAGAGGAAGCTACGCTTTCCGACGAGTTTTATTCCCACGACACCGACGAGGAGGACGATCAGAGCAAGAAAAGGCGGGACCGTTCTACCTCCGTAAGTAAAATTTGACATCTTTTCCTTTAAATTATATTTCATGAAAATTGTAATCAACATTACGATGAATATAATATAATAAGATAGTAGAAGGTTTAGTTAGTCGATTGCTAGATAACTAACAAACTGAATTAAAATCGAATCTAAATTGTTTGCCGAATTACTTGTAGCTTAATAAAATTTACGATGACTCCGTAGCTAGACGGTATTTCGTCTTCTGGCAGTGGTCATTTGGGATCGCCTACGCCTCGCGCAGGTCTAGGAGTTAGAAAATTATTCACAAACAGCCGCGAACGATGGAGGCAGCAAAATGTGAGCGGTGCTTTCGCCGAGCTTCGCAAATTGGTGCCGACGCATCCGCCGGACAAGAAATTGTCGAAAAACGAGATACTAAGAATGGCGATAAGGTAATCCGTTAATTATAGAAATATTAGCTTAACAGTTACACATTGTGACACTACTTTGAGTTACATATGTACATATTGCAACGTTTATTTATCCAGTACATTGATAACGATTATAACGTTTAATATCCGATATAATAATTTATTTTCAGAAAAATATATGATATTTAATTACGCAATATTAATAGAAATAAAATAAAATTAATTATGCGATTCCTAACTTACTGAATTAAAATAATAGCGATAAATTTTGTTTTGAAGATACATAAGGTTGTTAAGCAATGTTCTGGAGTGGCAGAAGGGTCAAGATCGTAACGGGATGCAACATGACGTGCGCATCAAATGCGAGTCGCATTTGAATAATCAAAACTCCGTTACGTATCATGCGAAGCCGACTGTAACCTTCTTGAAACAGGAGAAGTCGAGTGTATCTGAAAATTCTCATGTTTTTCGCGTAAATTATACCGCGCAGAGGCACAACTCTCACGCGGCGTGTGACAAAAACAGTAGCAATTTGCTGATGATCGCACCAACCGGACTCAACGCAGCAATTACCACCGGAAAACGCTGCGTCACACCTTCCGTCGTTGTCACACAAGGCAACTTTCACAAGTGAGTTACAGCAAAATCATTAATTTGTCTCTGCAAAAAAAAGAAAAATTAAGAAAAATTGATATTTATTCAGTTTGTAAAAAAATCGTGCGTTCTCAATCTCTTTGCACTGATAAGTTGTTCCTTTTTTTAAATTTATATCTATTTATAATACTTTATTAACAAAAATTAATGTTATATTACAGTTTTTTATGTAACATTTGGCATTTAGATTATATCGCGAAGTAATGTAAATATGTTAAAAGTAAAAAGAAATATTTGAAATGTTGGAACTAATTTTAAAAAATATCACAAACTAAATAAAGTCAATTTTAGTAATTATGATATGTACTGATCATAGTTACTTATTTAAATAAAAAATATTAAAAATTGTAACAGAGTAGTACAGCACATTTAATAATTTTAAACATTTTATTAGTCTTGCTGCTACTTTCATGCAATTATTAATAACGTTAATGCTGTCAACATTTCTAGCAGCAGCAACAATGGAAATCTTATACGTTCTTCATCGAACGGACGTTCTTCGGGCTTTCCAAAATCACCGCAAGTTTCATCGAACACCGGCATGATATCTAATGGATCCTCTTCATCCTTGACATGCAATGCACCACTTACAAATGGAGTAGGATCAAGCGGACCAAGTTGTGCTCAGAAAAGATTCAAAATCGAGAGGGAGGAAGAGGATCAAATTCCGAGAGACTGCAGAGTCCCGCCACCATCCGTTCATAGTGTACCGGTCAGAAAAAGAGGAAAAGTAACTTTTGTGAAGGACTCGAGCTCAGTGTTTCGTAGCGATTTATGCAACATAGATCGCAAATGAAATGTGAGCCGAGAAATAACTCTGTAGAACGATCGTTACAATTTTCTTTCAACAGTATATGCATGTCCTGTAAATATTTTCTTTATGCTGTATTTGACAATAATTGGTGTTGTACAATATAAACAATTTCTCTCGATAAATCTGCTGAGATAATGTATATTTAAAATTTTCTTTACAGTTATTCAGATTACAAAACTTTTAATTTGCGTTAAACGTTGTATACATATATTTAACGCGTATAAGGTAGAATTTCGTCTTGTTATAAGAAACGTCATTTATCTAAAAATATCGATATCCTGCAAACCGCAAAAAACATTTGCGACACTTTATTATATTATTGATCATAAAATGTTCATGCTTTTTGAACAATTTAATTATTGAGAACTTAATATAAACCTAAATTAATAATTCAGTAAACTTTTTTTTGTTTTTGTAATTAAAATTTTACTGCAAATTGTAAATTGCAACTTGCAAATATAAATTTATAAATTTAAATAGTATAAAATTTATTATTTATATTATAAATTTAAATAGTATATAACTTATTGTTTATACTATAAATTTGAATAGTATAAAATGTACTGTTTATACTATAAATTTAAATAGTATAAAATTTATTGTTTACACTATACATTTATGTATTAATATGCTATCAAATTTATTGTTTTCTGAATTTTTTCTTAATTTGCATTATTGTATAATCAAGTGCGAAGCAACGGATAAGACAAATATTTTTTTCTATAGCGCTTTTACTAACAACAAATTCAATGTCGTATTCTATCGTCGCATTCTCGCCTCGTTTATATAGAAAATGAATCTTCATTTCGTTATTTAGTTGGAAAGCAATGTTTCACTAGAACCTTGATTAGGATAATCAAGGAATGCAGGTTCACTGCGATTTGCTTTGTCCTTAACATCATGTTTCAATAATTGTCCCAATTTCTTCCAGAACCAAGGATCTCCCCATTTAATGTAAATGTTTGCATTTATGAAATTTCTCAATTCTGAATCTAAGTGCTTGTCAGTGGGTTCTATTTCACCGTACAGGATTAATATCACATCCGCTTGATACTTTTCCCAAGCTTGACAAAGCGCGACCCTAAGTTCCATCTTTCCCCAGACGTTCTCTAAAAAACTTGGCGACAGCACCATCATCATTTGTCCGGACAATTTCGCAGATTTTATTATGTTTGCTGTTGTCCACTCGCTTACTGACCAGTCTCTATAAGGAAGATACAACTTCAATGGCTTCAAGCCGTTCTCCAATACATGCACAAAGTTGTTCATTACGAAAACATGATCATCCTGCGAGTAGCTTACAAACACATCGTAACACACTTCCTCATCTATATTAGTCTCTTCTTCCTTTCCATCCTCTTCATCATTTTCAGCGAATTCTATTATTGATCGATGCTCATATAATTTTCTCTTAAATTGCTTTCGATACATATAATAGAGAAGACCGATGATGCTGATGAATAATCCCACAATAACAAATATAATCAAAGAAATGTTCCTTCCAGACCATCCAGTCGTGTTATTATCCATATAATTCGGACAAAAATCAGTTATTGTCATTTTTGAAATAAATTTATTCTTCTCCTGACATGTAATTCTATGTAGATCGGCTATTATGTGTGATTTAAATGTGTGAATGAAAGTAAAGAAATCTGTAGTACTGCAATTGCATATAAACGGATTTCCATGTAAAGTTACTAAATATAAATTTGTGCAGCAGGTCAGAAAATTTAACACGTTGGAAGACATTTTTGATATTTTGTTATTATGAAGCTCCAAAACCTGCAATAAAATTTGATTTAAAATTTTTGCCATAAAATATAGCTTAATATTTTTTATTATCATATCACTATAAAGGATAAATTAGAAAATAAAACATTATTAATTTCTTCTAAGATTTTTAAATTCTTTTTTTTTAGAGATTGTCTTCCAGATAAAATAAATTTAAGTACCTCTAATGATTCCGGCAATTTATTTAAGGAAATCTCGGAAATATTATTGTTAGATAATATAAGTGTTCTCACTGGTCCATATCCCAATTCTTTCAAATTTGGCATTTCAGTTAATTGATTATTGGAGAGATTCAATTTGATTTGCCAAAATTTGTGCGGAATATTCTTGACGCTTGGCACAACAGTAAAATTTCTACCAAAGCAATCAATTATAAATGCTTCATCCTCCAGGTTTCTAAAGCAGCTACATTTGTCGGGACATATTGAGTCAATATATATATCTGCATTCATTGTACATGTAAATAACTTAGACTGTAAATCTATAATGCGCATGTGTCGCAATTTTAATGGGACAAAGCAAGTTAGATTTTTTGGATCTATATTAATATATTTTTCCATGATAGGATTCATTCCGCCTTCGAGATAGCGCAGATAGTCATACAATTCACAATCGCAATGCAAAGGATTATGTTCAATCAATATCACTGCGTGATTTGACCAATCGTTCTTGAAGATGTCTTTGGCGTTGTTCAAAGAGATGGATCGTATTTTATTATAAGTCAAATCCACTTCGATATTTTCCGATGCAAACTGTAAATCTTCGGCCTAAAATAGACAAAAAAGATTGCCAAATATTATTGACATTATCAATAAGCATTTCAAATAATGAGATATTTGTTATTTTTAGTGTTTTTAAAAATACTTACAGATAAATGGGATATATAGTTATTTCTAAGATCCAATTTTTGAAGGTGCTCCATATCAATGACCCAATCGCTAAACATTTCCGATATGCGATTGTGACTTAAATATAATTTCTTTAAAAGGTAGCAAGAAGCAAAAGGTGACTCTGTTATGTCATCATCATTATGGTCATTTGAAGTTACAATATTTAACGTAAGATTGTTGTGTGAAAAGTTGGCAATTTGTAAACTGTGTAAAAAAATGAAGCTTCTCTCGGAAATCAGTATCAAGGAATTTTCTGCCATATTTAATTCTTCCAAATATTCTAATTCCTTGAAAACCTCACTAAAAAATTAAAAAGATTTATATTAATAAAAATATAAAATATATATATATATATATATATATAATATTATCTCTAGAATATACTATTAAAGTATTGGGCGGTAGTTGTGAGACATCCTGTATAAATTATAGTAATAGAAACGTACTTGTCAATGAATGAAATATAATTTTTTGATAAATCTAATTTTTTTAATTGCTTGAGATCTTGAAATATATTGGGTAGTTTTCTAAATGCATTAGAATCTAATTTCAATTCTCTCAGCTCTTTCAAATCCCGGAATATAAGTTTGGGTAAAAAGCCCAGATCATTTCTACTTAGTGTAAGACTTGTCAGCGAAAAACATCCCCACAAAAGGTCTTCCGGCAAAAGAGTAAGTCCATCTTTTTCCACTTTCAACATTTCCAATTTTGTTAAATTACGAAAAAATCCATCTGGTAAGGTGTTCAATTTTTTTTTGTTGAAGGATAAGTCAATAATTCGTAGATTTGTATTGTTTTGTAGCAGGTATCTTGGCAAAAGTGTAAAATTATTTTCAGCTAAACTAAGTGTTTCGAGATTTTTTAGCTTCCCGAATATGTTTTCCGGCAAGCTGACCAAGTTGTTCGAGAAAAGATTGATAAGTAAAACATTGACAAGTTTGTCAAAGATTCTTGATTTAAACTTAGTTAAGTTATTTTTTTCTAAAGAAAGCCATGTTAGATTATAAAATTTGTCGAATATGTCTGGTTTTATCCATTCCAATCTATTCTCTCCTAAGTCAAGTTCCTGCAATTTGGAATCATGATCAGAAAGTGGAGTAACTGTTATTAAATTGCTTTTGCGCAAGTTTAATCTTATTAGATTAGGTAAATCGGCTAGCAGATCTGTATCTATGCTGGATATAATGTTATTCGATAAATCCAACAAACGTAAATTTACGAAGCCGTTCAGATGCAATCTCTTAAAAGAACTTAAATTTTTATATGAATGGAAAACTAATTTTTCCACATTAGTGGCTCCTAGCATGTCCGTAATCGTTTTTAAACTGCTGTCCTTCGGTAAATCGCAGTTATAAAAATACATATTCTTTACTGAACGTTTTGTTAAGTTGTACAGCTGAAAATCTGACCAGTTCGCATTAGAACATGTAACCTGCGTGAGAAAACATTAACTCATGTAATCTGGATTAAATAATTTTAGAACTAATAGTTTTAGCTCGAAAAGATCTAAAACAATCATTCTAAGAAATTGCATAAACAAAGCTTATTACAAGCAAAATTATAACTTTACGACTGATTGTGGAGAAATTCTCAGACAGAGATAAAATATTCTTACAATGCTTTTTATTTTGTGATTGCAGCTAGATATATATTTGTGTCTTTTCTCCAAAATTTTAAATTTATGTTTTTATAGAAAAAATAATCCAAAGTGAAAGAAAAAAATTTTATTAAATATCAAATGAGATATAATCTCCATTCTGTGATATTTGAGTAAGACTTTGTTTATTCCAATTTGTCATTCGAACTCATCATTTTTTAAGTTTTATGTAAATTCGAATTTTGGAAATAGTACTGACTGTATGTGTAAGCGCATAGATTTCTGCAATTATATATAGATAAAAATGCAGAACGGTTGTGATTTAAAAGTACACACATACATACCTTTATAGACTCGATTGATTCAAATTCAATATCAATAGACGAATTGTTAATTTTACATATTATCTCGATAGTGTCCCGTATACTCCATTCGCAACTACATATCTTATTTTCTGGACACAGAGAAGCGGATACACTACACACAACAACGAGTAAAATCGCGAAGCATATTTTGCGACGAGTGCACATTTTAAAACGTTATTTAGAATGCGTGTCTTAAACAAACAAAAAAAAAAATATTTATTGCATCGTTATATAAACGTTATTTACTTTTAATCTTTATTTTTTCTCAAGTCATAAATGTAAATTAGAAACAATATGATCAAAATTGAAGAGTATTGTGGATTAAATTAACGTGATTGTTTATAACTTTGCAAAATCTGTAATATAAAAATTGGTTATGCAAAGCTAATTTCTGCGACACCAAAAATAAGTTTGACAAACGCGACAATCGCAACGAGAAGCTTAAAGCATATACATACATCGAATTAGTTTAAATATATGATAATAATTTCAAATAGATTCGGATCTTATTTGAATTGAAAAGTTATTAAGTATCACAAAGATCTTGAAGTTTCTATCATATCTAATGCATCATATTTACTGTATGTAATTATATCTATTGTAAATGTGAATATTTACCTGAATTTATTTGCAATTAATCATGAAAAAGGTACAAATTTCTTTCCTGTGCACTGTTTCTGTCGTATCGTTCACTCTGGTACTGAAATGTTATCGAAATTAAAGAAGACATATATGTATATTACGATATGTCCCGACCTCTGTTTCATAATACGGAATAATACTATACAAGGTGGCTCATAAACAAACATCTAGTCTTCAATATTTATAACACAAATCTACAGACCAAAAAATAAAAAATATTACAACATAAAATTAATAATATGCACAACGTATATGTATGAAATATTGTCTTGTACTTATAGAAATACACATAAAAATGCATACATAATAGAAATATTACGTACATATATTAAAATCGGTTTTCTATTAAAAAAGAGATTTAAAATTATTTGTGTGAAGAACTCGAGTACAGTATGTTGTAACGATTTATACGGCATAGATCGCAAATAAAATGTGAATCGAGAATAGTTCTTTATAAAACAATCGTTGCAATTTTGCTTTAATATATTGTTTTTACATATTGTAGATGTATGGTTGAAATATTTTCTTTATATTATTATTTTATTTATATTCATATTACATTGTTATTTTTATCCTTTTTGCAATTGGCAATAATTGATATTGTAATTTAAATTATAATATAAATTTTTAATCTCAATGAATCTACTCAGTTCATATATATGAAAAAATTTTATTTGTAATTATTTAGATTTGAAAACTTACAAATTGCGTTAAACATGACATATACATATTTTAAGCATATTACAAAAATTCGTCTTCTTATAAAACACGTTACGTCTTTAAAAATATTAATATCTTACAAAGTATAACATTTCCTTTACTTTGCTAAGATTTAATTTATATTATCAAATTGTTCTTGTTACTTAAGCATTGTAACTATTAAGAACTTAATAAAAACACAAATTAATACTTCAATTTGTTTTTTGTGTCTGCAGGTAGTATTGCAAATATAAATTTATAACATGTGTAAATTCATTGTATTATCAATTTTAACTCATTTTGCATTATTGCATAATTAATTGTAAGACAATGCAATAAAGTACTTTTTTCTCGCGCACATCGCTTCTATTAACAAAAAATCCAATTTTTCTACCGCTGTATTTTGCCGTTGATATAAAAAATAGATCAATATCTCCAATTTTATCTCGTTATTTAACTAGAAAATTTTTTATTTGAAATCTGATTATAATATTAAAATTTAAATTTACTGCGATTTGTGCTCAGCTGAAAATCATGCTTCAATGATTTTTCAACTCATTCCAGAACCAAGCATCTCCCCATCTGATGTAAGTGTTCGAATATATGTACGTCTTCAGTTCTGAATCTAAGCTCTCGTCAGTGGGTTCTATATTACCGTACGGGATTAATATCATGTCTGATTGCTTCTTGTCAAATCAATCTTGTCTGATTGCTTCTTGTCTTGTTGCGCTTGACTAAGCGCAACACAATATTCTATCTTTCCCCAAATGTTCTCCAAGAAGCTTGGCGACAGCACCATTATCATCCGTTGGGACAATTTTAGAGATTTTACAATGTTTACCATTGTCCATTCGCTTGTTAACCAGTCTCTATAAGGAAGGCACAGCTTGAATGACGTCGAGCCGTTCTCCAGTGCGCGCTAACACATTTATCACGATAATCCTGCGAGTAGCTTATAAACGCGTCGTATAATTTCTCGTTGTCTGATTCATTTTCTTCATCTGCGTCTATTATGAACTTATGAGTAAATAGCCTTTTTTTAAGATGCAGTTAATACATATAACAGAAGGTGCCAATGATTAATCCCGCAAAAGTAGAAATAAACCAGTAAATGTGCTCTGTATACAATTGTTCTCCATTATTCTTCACATAATGAACAATCGGACAAAAGTCAGTCAAGTTCATTGTCATCATGTTTGATATAAGTTTATTCTTGCCATTACACGTCACATTATGCAGATCAGCTATAATATTAAATTTTAAGATAATAAATTCTACGAAATCTTTAGTATTGCAGTCGCATATCAATGGATTTCCACGTAACGTCAATAAAGTTAAATTTGTGGCGTTTCTCAAGAAATTTAACACATCGGAAGATATTGTTGATATATTATTATTATGTATCTCCAAGGCCTGAAACAAAAGTTTGATTTTAAAATTTTATCGTAAAATGCTCATTATTTTTTTATTACGCTATTACCCTACAAGATAAAATAGATAAAAAATCAAATTAATTTGTTTTTACGTTTTATAAAATATTTTTTTCAAAATTGTGTTTTTTACATAAAATACAATAAGTTTAAGTACCTTTAATGTTTTCGACAGTCCATCCAAGGAAATCTCGGAAATGTTATTGTGAGATAAGATAAGTTTGCTCACTACTCCATAACTCAAGTTTGTCAAATTTGGCATTTGTGTTAATTGGTTATTGGAGAGATTGAGTTCGACTTGCCAGGAATCGGGCGGCTTTATCATGAAGCTTGGCACAATAGTCAAATTTTTGCGAAAGCAATCAATCATGAAAGTTTTTTCCTCCTGCTTGACAAAGCAGTTGCACTTATCGGGGCACATCACAATATCTGTATTATTTGCTATACATGACTCAGATTGCAAATTTATAACACGCACGTCTTTCAATCGAAATGGAGTGTGACAAGTTAAATTTTCTAAATTTATACGAATATATCTTTTGATGTTAGGATGCATTTTGCCTTCAATATAGCGCAGAAAATCATACAATTTGCAATCGCAATGCAAAGGATTATGTCCAATCAATATCACTATGCTGTTTAACCAACCATTATTGATCACGTCTTCGACATTTTCTAAACTGATGTATTGTATTTTATTATAAGTTAAATCCACTTCGATTCTTTCTGGTGCAAACTGTAAATCGTCGATCTAAAATGAACAAAAAAGATCATTAAATATTATCGACATCATGAATAAGCATTTTGAATAATGACACATTTGTTATTG